ACCTTCAGCCACACCAGAAGTCTGGGCAATCGCTTCAGAAGAGTTGGAAGAAACAGCCAGATTGGTTCATCATCCTTCCTCTAAAGCAGTGGTTCTCAACCTTCCTCATGCCGCGACCCTTTAATACAGCTCCTCATGTTGTGGTGACCCCCAATTTCATGGTTACAAATTGAACATAAAGCATAGTGATTCATCATAAAAACAATATGTGATTATACATGTGTTTTCCGATGGTCTTAGGCGACCCCTGTGAAAGGGTCGTTTGACCCCCAAAGGGGTCGTGACCCACAGGTTGAGAACCGCTGCTCTACAATATTTTCCGACTTCCCAGTCCTTAAAAAAAGATGACGATTTCTCTTGTTCCTACCAGGGAATCTTTTCTCTCCCAGAAGTGTCTTGGGGAGTGAAAAGGGCAGGGCCCCCCGTTACAGGCCGCACCCCTCCTCACACTCCGAGGGAGATAGTTCTTGGACGCGCTGTGGAATGTGTGATAATGTGCGGCTGGCGATTTACGGCGCCAGCTGTGCCTGTCTGAATAAACGCACAGCAACTTCTGTGTGAAAAGGGAAAGTTGAGGTTACGTTTATAAGCGTGTGCCCCCACAGAATCAATTCTGCTGTGTGATATCTTTGAAAATTAAAATAAAATGTGATGGCGTTGTTACTGGTAGCGTGGCTTGGCATATACATGGTCTTGAGAGTAGGAAAATGACCTGGTCTCGTCGGTTCAGGTGTCGGCTGTGTGTTTTCATGCTGTGATGGCAGCGTTGAGAGGTCAGGTTGCCTCCTGCCCCTCGACAGACCTCTCCCCCCGCCTTGTCTGGGGCGAAGGGAGGGAATGGGTTGCACAGGGGTTGGAGTAGGAATAAGATTTCTCCACTTCGAGCTTTTGTATGTTTTTTGTATGTTGTTTTGTTTTTCAAAATATGTGAAGGCATAACCTATCAAAAAGATGTGGGGTTTTTTTAAATTTTTTTAATTTTAAACCACCGTCCGCTGGTTGTGGCTGTCGGGCATCATCCGTGTCTTGTGTTCTGCTTGGTTTGTCAGGAATCTTCAAAAATCCACCCCAACGCCTCGGCCACAGGAGCCAATGACGCTGCCCAGACCTGGGACCTATTACTTCCCCTGGGAGGTCAGTGCCGGCCAGGCTCCTGACGGGGGCGCGCTGCGGACGTTCGGCAGGTGAGATGCTTGTTTTTCCACAAAGCGGGGAGGATGTTTCAGTGGCTGCCTCCCCCTCAAAAAAACAATTAAAATAGTCGTCATTTTGTCTGATTAAAAACTTAATATGCATTCATTGTAAAAAACATGTAGACAATTCATAAAGGTGTAAAGGAAGCAAGGAAAAAATCACCTGTGATCCACTGTCTGAACAACCACTGCCTGTTTTGGTGATTACTTTACACACTTTTTCATGTGTGTATGCATGTATAATATGTATATGTGGGTGGGTATGTATACACACTGTGTACACACGTGTACATGCATGTGTACTGTACGAGTCAGTCATTTTATTGCCATGTAACAAATTACCTCAAAATTTAGTGGCTTAAAAGGAGAATGAAAGCTTCTTATTTCTGCCCTGGCCTGTGTGGCTCGAGCAGCAGCCCATGCACCAAAGGGTCTCAGGCAGATACCCAGGTTTCGGGTTCAATCTCTGGTAGGGATACATACGGGAGGCAACCGCCTCATGGATGTTTCTCTCTCCCTCTCCCTCTCCCTTCTTCTTCCTCTTAAAAAACAACAACAACACAGCCCAGCCGGTTTGGCTCAGTGGGTAGAGCATAGGCCTGCGGACCAATGCTTACCGAGTTTGATTCCGGTCAGGGGCACGTACCTGGGCTGCAGGCTCCTCCCTGGCCGGGGCCCTGGTCAGGGCTCGTGCGGGAGGCAACCAGTCCATGTGTTTCTCTCACATCAGTGTTTCTCTCTGTCTTTCCCTCTCTCAAAAACAAAAACAAAAACACACACCACAATAATACAAAACAAAAGCTTATTATTTTGTAGCTGCTATGGGTCAGGAACTTGGGAGCAGATCAGCTGGGCTAACACCCGGAGGCTGGGCGGCCCTGGGGGATGTGCTTCCGGGTGACTGGGTCACACTTTGGCGAGTTGGTGCTGGCCAAAGACTCAGGGAGGCTTGGGGTGATAGAAATGTACTAAATCTCGACTGGGGTGGTGGCTACACCAAGTGTGTTTTCTCATCAAGACTCGGACAAGTGTCTTTTGATGCATGCAATTTATACTCAACAGTCTTTCTGACTTGTTGCTGCCATTTTTATTTTGTCTGATGGAAGTAAGGCTGACCATTTCCCCAAACCTGTAAGCTCTAAGCTCCGTGGCCGTCGTGTCTAAGGAGAGAGACGATCGCGCTTTCCCTGACTTCCAGGTTGAGCCTCTACGACATGACCGAGTCCCGAGCGATCCTGACAGCTCAGCACGGGTCCGAGCAGCACCAGGTCCTCGTCTGTACCAAGTTGGTGGAGCCGTTCCAGGCCCAGGTGGGCTCCCTGTACCTGGTCCTTGGGGAGCTCGAGCAGCAGCAGGGTAAGCCGGGGCCTCACACACGCTTTTGCCCTCTGGGTCCTGAGTGGTGACGCGGTTGGGACTGGGCCTGGGGTTGGGACAGTGTCCCTCACGGGGATAACATTCCTCCCGAATCATCCCACAAGTTCAAGGGCCCCTGGGAAGCATGTGACTGGGCTCAGAGCCCATCTGCCACCGGGCATTGCGAAAGCCTGGAGGGAATCCATTCATTTCCGAAGGCCCACATTCCAGGCCTCGTACCAGGTTTGCTTAAATCTTTGAATCTGCCCACCTGCCCTTAATCTGAGTCTTATTACTGCTGATTCATAGATGAGAAAACCAAGGCTCAGAGAGGGTGGGGCTGGACTAACCATCCCGGAAGTCAGGGTCAGAGAAAGAGGACAGCTCTGGCTGGTGTGGCTCAGTGGATAGAGGGTCAGACTGAAGGGTCCTGGGTTCGATGCCGGTCAGGGGCACATGCCTGGGTTGCGGGCTTGATCCCCAATAGGGGGTGTGCAGGAGGCAGCCAATCAATGATTCTCTTTCATCATTGATCTTTCTCTCTTTCTCTCCCCCTCTCTCTCTTTCTCCCTCTCCCTCACTTTCCCTTCCTCTCTGAAATCAATAAAAATATTTAAAAAAAAGAGAGAGAGAGACACCCTGATCGGTTTGGCTCAGTGGATAGAGCG